GTTTTATTTTTAGTTGTAATTTTAGATATAAGTGTGTGTAGTGTTTAAATTCAGTGAATAAACTTCTTTCTTTCTTTTGTTTGCATTGTTCAACAAAGCAATAATATTTACGATGTGTCGAACGCGCCTTGAAATAAGTAAACAATTTTTCTAGTCCGCCGACAACAATTTCTTAATGGGTAACCATTCAATCAGCTTCCCCTTACACATTGCCCATGTACATGAGTCATGCAGTGGTTGCATTAGTGGGGTCGCTAATAATCTCTAGGGAACATTATGGGGTCATCTTGAAATAGTTTGGTTTGCTTCTGTTCCGCTTTATTGGATTCTTTACACGTATATACACCTACCTACCTATGAATATACATACACGCGCGTGCACACGAACACAGAAAGCACACACTTGGGTGGGAAATGTTATATTACTTTTTTGTTTAAGCATTTTAGTCATTTTTTGTGTGTGTTAAATATAACAATAATGTGCCAGATAACCACACCAATCGCCCTGTCTGAAACTATGAAATTCCTTGTGCTATGAGTACCAGAGCAAAGGAATTCACTCTGGGGCACTTGCCAGAATATCCAGACCAGAGCCATTTAAAGACGCTAAACCAATGTAAATCAGGCGCATTTTTTATTGTTAGATTATTTTTTATTTTCAAAACTTAACACTATATTACTATATCGCACTGTTAATTCAATAGTGTATTAACTCAAATAGTGGACTTTCTCAGAATTGATGAAAAACGAATTACTCACTTTCCGCAAAAAATCATTAAAATTTATGTACGTTATAGTTTATCATAGAAACTTAAACAATATCTCAAATATATTTAAAAATAAAATGGAAAAAACAATTTAATATTTTTTAATAAGGATTATTTTGGCCAGAACTGGCTCACATAAAGTGTTAATAATTTTGAATTAAGTAGATATCTTTTGATTATTTCTTACAATATTCTCAAGACGGTTTTTTTGACGTGCAGAGAATCAAATTTTACGTTCAGTAATGATATAATATTAAATTTTACATATTTTGAGTTACAACACTATTGTAATTGCGATATGAATCTGCTTCATAGAAAATCTCAAATTGCGTGGTCAGTTAGTGGTACATACCTACCTATTTTTGGATTAATGCAAAAGGTCCCGCCATTTGGTATCTTTAAAAAAATAGTTTGCGTAATTATAAATTCTTTTTGTGTATTTTTTGTAAACGGTTACGTAGAATAACATTTATATCATCATTACGCCCGATCTCTACAAAACCAAATCGTAAAAAAAATGCATAAGTATTGTAAATAAAATATTTTGCAAATCGTACGTCTCTTAAATAGGAATATAGTCTTTGGTATATTATAAATACGTTAGACTCTTTTGACAGGTGTTAGTATTTTATACCCAAAGACTAGCGATTATTCAAAAACTACAAAACGATTTTACTAGAAATAAGAAGAAAAGTATTGTATCATAATATTGTTTTATTTGGTGAGAAATTAAAGTGATTTACTTACCTCATATCATCACAATGTTTTCACCAAATGATGTAAATAAATCATTTTCGCAAATATTGGACAACTTTGATGAATACGTAATATTTTTTTTGAAATGTTGAATATATACCTAAAAATCCATTAGTACAATACATTAGTAGTTTTACGTATTTCATATAACATAACTGCACTAAATGACTTGGGGGGAAAAAACTGGCCGGTTTTCTTCATTGGTCGTATTTGTCAACCAATAATGACACGCCAATCGTCAAATTAAAGACCACATTATCCTCTTTCTATTTTCATGCAAATCGTCACTCGTTATAATGATTGGGTAACAACGTAATCAACTTTTTAAATTGCTAGTGTTTGCGCACGGATTCACACGGATTCCGAGCTTTCGGCCATATTATGTTGTGCGGACGAATTCAGAGTCTAAAAGTTAAAAATAGGGTGGTTTGCATAATATTAGATATAACTGTTTGATGACTAATATCATCTCAGACAGCTGTGCGCTGTGAACGTAGTACCTGTAAAGAGCCCGAAATTTTGATTTCTTTGAAAAAAAAAACAAATATCCGCGATTTAGTACTGAAAAAGTAGTTTCATTTCCACTTTGTATCAATCGTGTAAATGTAACAACTCGATAAATCAAATTCAAATGTGCAACATTCTCACGATAATGTCTCATAATCTGTTAACCTTGTAACAGTTATAACTTTATGAATGCAAGTCAATAATTGAATAACCGGTTAGTAACCTCTCGATTGAGTTAGTCTCAATAACTAAGCGTCGCCGAGTACAGCTATCAATTTGGCCTTTATTGTTTTGACTCGCATTACGTTTGTAGGCATTGTAAGATGAACACACGCTTCCTTTAAAAATCGTCTTCTCCTATAGTATGAACTGGAATATGTTTTTTTAATAAATTAAAAATAAAGTTTTTAAATGAATACTTTTGTAAATAGTTCAGAATAGGGTGGTTTCCGGTAATATAAGACGCAACTGTTGATGACTTTACCATCTCAGTTAGCGTGACCATGAGACTTTTAAACGTCTTCCTTTATACCGTAATAGCAAAGTAATAATTATTAAACTAAACTTGAAGTCATTAGATTTTGCCAACCCTGTCAGGGAGTTTCTCGTAAATGTCTCTAAACTCAACTAGGCTATCACTATACAGTAAAAATACTAGGACAAACCACTATTATAAATACAAAATAACGTTTTGTGATAACCACGACGCAATTCAATACTGCTGCAAAGGGCGTCTACCTTATCGGAGCCAACCGCAAAATACGCCTTATGTGATCTCTAAAGCATCGGGTTACCTTGAGAAGGTTTTCTCATAACTAGCTATGCGTTTCATTCGAAATACTCTACAAATGGAAAGTTCATACTACAATTTTAGAGCAACGATTTAGTCGTTAGTTTAGAAAAAGTCGAAACAACAGTGTATAATTAGCATTCTCACACCTGTACACTAACCGTTACAGAAAACATAAAATAAAAAAAATATTATTTTTATTCCATTTCCCAGAATTCGAAAATTGTAAAGCAACTTTCCTAAAGCGTGAAACACACAGAGAGCGGGTGCGAGTCGGGAGCGTGTCGTGTCAAATTCCGTGTATTTATATGGACGACAGCACACGGAGCGCGGGCTCTCGACCCGACACGCGCCGGACCCGCACCCGCTCTTTGTCTGTTTCACGCTTTAATTCCAGGAATTTTATATTTTATAGCAAAGTTTTAATAGTAAGTAACCGCTCTCACACGGTGAATATTAGCAGCGATGCAAATGCGATGCAGTCGCTGAGTCTAATATACATTACGACAATAATAATAATATAATAATAAGTCTACCTTTATACACGCACGCGATTTTAAGCAGCGATGCAATTGCGCGACTGCATCGATACAAACGCGCGATTGCATCGCTAAACTTGGGATTTATAGGCGATAGCATCGATGCAATCGAGTGTTTGTACATACGCGCAATCGCGCGTTTGTATCCATGCAGTCGCGCATTTGTATCGATGGTTTCGCGCGTTTGTATCGACGCAATCGCCTATAAATCGCAAGTGTAGCAAACGCGCGTTCGGGAAACGCGCGATTGCTATACTATGATTTTAAAGGCAATTTCCAACTCAATGAAGACTCAACAAAAAGAAATTGAGTAACAGAGCTGTATCAAATCGTGTTCAAATTTGTTAAATTCTTTTTTGAACTAATCATTTATATTTCACCTACCTGAGTACTAGTGAACCGCCGACTCCCCGATCGGCTAAGAGTTCCTCCACGCACGTTGCTGTCCGACAAATCGACGTCACCACCGCCGTCCACAGCGCGCCTGCGCGTCAGCTCACACAGCTCTGCTATTGGTTGAACCTGTCATATTAAAATTTAAAATTCAGTTTTAGAAAAAGGTAATAAAAAACTTAAAGATAATTATAATGCTGAATAAAAGGTACTTTGGAAAGTATTGCCAAAATTTATAATAACAAATAATGTATCAAACAACCACACAAATTGCCTGGTTTCAAACTAGGGAATACCCTACTATGAGTACCAGAGCAGCGAAATTCACTCTTGAGCACAACCCAGAACAACCAGATGAGGAGCAATTTGGAAAAGTTCTTCTCATTGCAAACCATTAGGCCACCGAGGTCGTTGAAAATATAGCCCGAAAGGGCGTGGAATTCCTCTTACTAAACTTACTAACAGGAAATAAATTCGATGAGAGGTAAAGGACAATAAGTCTATATTTTGGAATTGAAATGTTTTCACCAACATTGCTTTAGAATGCTAAAAATAACGCAATGGTAATAGTTATTTGTTATGCAAGGCTGCAAAGTTGTTGTTTGACGCGAGTGCTTGTATATTTGAACCTGAGCAAGCGAAGGAAGCTAAGATTCTAAAATAAATTCCTGACCGTAGCGAGGATTTCAAGGCACGAGACGTAAAACAACTTTGCTGCCGAGCGAAACACACAACTTTTCACCTCACTATAGCGAGGAAAGTGGTAAATGAAATAAAAACAGTCGAACAATAAAACATCAGATTTTTTTATTAAAAGAAAAAGTTTATCGTCGGATGCGTTCTGAATTTACATTTCATCAATTTTATTCTTGCTTGTACTTTTGTTTTGTGTGATTAAATGATTATTGAAATTATTTTAGTTCTTCGACGAATTAAAATAATTTAATAAACACAATTAGTTATCATCATTGACTTACATATGGACGTCGGGTCCGCGCTAAAAAGTGTCCGCACTTGTAAGGCGCTAAAATCGTATACAGAGCGCGACATTCCGCTTTAGTCTTCATTTGTTCTACTGACAGCGCGATACTGCGATGACATTACAATTTAAATTTCGAATAGGTTGACTTGGGACATTTTTTTCGTGGTTTTTGTATTAGACCCGTCGTCCATTTAATTGTAAGTCAATGGTTATCATTGTCAATTTAATGTCAACAATAATACAAATGAAATATACCAACGGATTTATATTACGTAGATATGTCATGTGAATCCGACAAGTCGCTCATTTGAACGTGTCATTATTTTTTTTCCAGTCCATCGTCAATTTAGAATTTTAAAAGCCTTTTCTACGTTAGCGTGCAAAAAAAGCCTTTCCGAGCTATTGAAGTGAAAAATATATTAAGTCCTATCGTCTTTTGTTTTTTATTTAATATATTTTATTTGATCTGGCACCTTCAAATAAGACGCATATAAGCGCTGCAACCGCTAGTATTAATTTTCAGTTCCAGTGCTAATTTTCATACAATATTTAAAAGCGCAGCTGCAGTATCCAGTCGCATAACGCGCGCCGCTTCTGCTTTTGCAGACTAGGGAGTCTACTCTCGATCTCCGTCCGACATCCGTCCGAAACAATTACTGTCAAATAAGTAATATTCGACAAAATTAAAAGACAAGTATCAAGTATGAAGCTTCATTCGCATCACGCGTCTTTTCATTTGGTCAAGTATTGCTTATTTGGCAGTAATTGTTTCGGACGAATGTCGGACGGAGATCGAGAGTAGACCCCCAGATTTGTCGCGCCACTACTAAATTTCATACAATATCTACTCGCGACTGTGGTACTGCAGCTGCGCTTTTAATTACTGTATGAAAATTAGAAGTCGCGCCGCTGCAGCGCCACTTGACGCTACTGCAGCTGCGCGACTATAAGTGTCTACTTTGAGGCGGCCTTAACATTGTCGGGCGCAGTGGCAGAGCCACTCAGATTTTTGCGATTTAAAGCTCTGAGTGGCACAGCAACTGTTACGGACAGGCGTGTAGCTTACCATTAGGCGCACGACTACTTGTTCGTCCCGTCACTTGATATTATAAAAAAAATTATTGCTTAATTAAGAGCCCCATTCTCTTTAAAGCGTTCAGTAGTCAAAAAATCAAATTGCCAATTAAAATTCTTTACCTCTCACCTACAAAATTAAAGATCAATTTTATTACAGGACTTATAAATTGCTTCACACATTTATATATATAGATATTTTGCACTTAATCTGTCACGTTCCAAAAACCTGATAATCAATTGAAATAATATAATCATTAAACCTCACGATAAGAACAAGATTTCACGTCATTTAAATGATAATTTCATGTCAGTGTCCTGGTATCTCACACAATAATGACTATGTTAAACAGACATAACCATAATTTTAACATGAAAGTTGTCTTATCCTAAGACGAGTGAAAGTGGAACTAGAGCATTTTAAAAACCGTACTTGGTTCAGATATAGGGTGATTGAAATGTGCAGCTGGACAAGATAATTACATTGTGGATAATTTACGCTGTTGTATGCGATTATTTTAAAGAGGTTTCTATCAACTTTGATGAGATAGAATTTCAGTCTATTGCGAAAAGTATTTCTTTTAATTTCTTTTTTTATGATACCAGGGATGAATGTGGTTCGAAATTCAAAATTTTTTTTTCGAATTTTTGAATTTTTTATGGGATGTGAAAGGGCGCCTACAAATTAGTTGCGTGCTGCCGCGCCACTACAAATTTTTATACTGCTCATTTATTGGCAATATGAGCAGTTGGCAAATATCAGCGGTGTTGCCACCGCTTAGTTGCGCAGAGCGCGACGGGAAGTGAGCGTGCCTATAGCCCATACCTGTCTGGAAAACAGGGAGGGTGCACACCCGGAATGACTCACCTAAACGAGAACCGGATGAAGTCCGTATAATCGGGCTGATCTGAGGTTAGGACCTGACATAGATGGTCCCTGTCTGGACTTTCTCGCACAGGTTATAAGTGCCCTTCCCGCATAACCAATAGGGAGAGTCACTATAAACAAAATTTATGTAGAGAGATATGGAGCTGCTCATTTATTGTATGAAAATGTGTGTGACGCGACTGGAGCGCCACGGGGCGTCACTACAGCGCTTCTATAAGCGTCTAATTTGAAGGCGCCCTAAGGCACAAGACTAATGAAATGGAAGCGAATTTTTGTAACGGAATCGATGGGTCCTAGGTCTGGTCCTAAGTATAAGGGCCATACTAACCATTTGATCATTTTTCACTTTTTTGTGGGAAATGCTTCATTTCATTATAAAACGAAGAATTTGCATTTTTTGAAATGCTTCATTTTATAATGAAATGAAGCATTTCCCACAAAGAACTGAAAATGATCAAATTGTTAGTTTGGTCCGCATACTTAGGACCCATCGAAATAGTGCATAACATAATGAACTAACTGGGTAATGTACAAACTAGATACGGGCCAAAAACGGGTCGCGCGTCTTGCGGAAAATTTTGGAACAGCCTCAGGAATTCTCGCAGCAACCGTCTCGTATCTACTTTGTACGTTACATAGTTGATATAAAGCTTACGCTATGTACAAATTAAATATCTTCCATTCCAATGTAAAATTAGTGCTTTAGAGCGACGCATTGGATTTTTTGAAAAAACAAATATACGCTATGTACATACGAATAATTGTAAATTATTCATTGAAAAAAAAAATCGACCTCAAAAGTTTGCTTATCGGTTTTTTTCGATTTCCATGGGACTCCCTCATCAGATTATGACTTCTTAGTGACAATGGGACTCCTTTGCACATTTTATACTTTTTTCTGGTTGTCATGGTGACGGTGATTTGTTGATTACATGTATTGTGTCAAGTGAAAAGTCGACTTTTATTTGCGGCGGAAAAATTTTTAAAATTTGTGATAGCCGAAACGAACCCGGAACAGCATCGTTGGCATCAGGAACCCGGATACACTTTTAAACAAAAAAAGAATTTTCAAAATTAGTTCATAATTTATGGAGAAATCGGTATGTCAGTGTGCATGTCTTTAAAATTCATCAGATTCTGACTTGGTCACAGTGGGATCACTACGAGAGTGCAACCTTTCAAACAAAAAAAGAATTTTCAAAAACGCTTGACAAATTTATCGCGTAACACACAAACAAAACAAAACTAGAGTCGACTTAGGAACCTTTTTTTGAAGTCGGTTAAAAAGAAGTTTTGTTTTCAGTTTGACATAAAATATTATGTTTTGGTGGTTTAAAGAAATTGGAACATCGCTGATCAAGGTGTTTAGAGTCAAAAGGAGATTGCGTCGAAAAACAAACCATAAATTGGAAAATATATGTTTTTATTACCAAACCGCCCTTTTACATTGAGACTACCAGTTTGTAGTACATCTGACTTGCCAATGACTATATTTAAGCAAAAATAAATCTTTTTTTTCATAAATTAATGTTATTTTCTTATAAATGTAATAATAATTGTATTCATAATTTCAATTTCAAGTTCTCGTAATGGATTTACTCGAAGTGAATGTACAATACTGTGTTGCCTTTGCGAATAAGAATTTGAAATTGATATAGTTTATTTTATCGTGATATGTTTTTAAAATGTTTTTGTCTAATAACTAGTTGATTGTTTAGAGTGAGCTAACGCTGTTATTAAGTACAGTTGACATTCTTCATGTTATGTGACGTTTCGAGTTTTTCGATTGTCATAATATTGACATAAATACAGCGCATTCCTCGAAAACCGTGCTTAAAAGCAAATTTTGTAGGATAGCACAGTAGAAAAACCACGCCTAAAATCCACTATTACTTCGGCATATTGTACATTTATTTGACAAACCAATAGAATTACGTATCGCACGTTGAAATCGATATCGTCACTAGACGAAAAAGTCACATTTTGAAAAATAGTTGTTAAATGTTCTGAATTTCAATTTAAATTTGACAACGCGGGAGTTTCTTTTGATGACGTGTTGCTTATAACTTGCGAATATGATTACCAACTTCAAATAATACTCAAACAGTACTGCGTTCCGGTTTTGAAGGGTGAGGGTGCTGGTGAAATTACAGGCACATGTGACTTGTCAACTTATGTCTCAGGGTGACGAGCGCAGTGGCAGTGCCTCTCAGATCTTTGCGATTTACTTTGCGATTTAAAGCTCTGAGTGGCACTGCAACTGTTGTGGACAGGCGTGTAGTTTACCATCAAGCGCACGACTTGTTCGTCCCGTCACTTGATATTATAAAAAAAAAAGAAGAACACAGGCTACTTTTTGTCACAAAAATAAATCATAAAGGGGGTGAAATAGATGATAAAAGTTTGTACAGAAAACCTATGTACAACTATAAAATTTGTATGTAGGCTAACAGAAAACACGCTTTGAAAGCTAAAAAAAATATGGGTATGGATCTCATTCCGAATAATATGATTATTTTTATTTATAAGTACATATTCATAAACGAGATTATAAATATATCGGTTCCCTTCAGCAATTTTTTGAACTTTCAAATCGTGTTTTCTTAATTCCACAATTTAGAGTTACTACAGTATTTAATATCAATTGCGATATATTCTTTTGATATGTCTTATATCAGGAACACAGGGTTAAGTTGGTTAATACTGTATAAGTTAAAATTCTAAGTTGTATATTCAAAAACATCATGACCTTGAAAATTAAAACTTCTTACATGTTCCGTCAAGCTTTCTCTAAATAATAAATAAAGATTCATTTAATAACAACTTAGCAGGTACATTATAACGGTGTACCATTAATTCTGATCGAGCAATTTAACAGCTTTCGCATTTACAATTATTTATTAAAAAAATAATGGTAATTAATTTGTTGTTTATGGACAGTAAAGTACCGTTTACGCACATGTATTTTAATCGAATACTGATTCGATATTTTGTGAGTTACCAATAATGTTAGCACTTATGTGAAAGTTATCTATGAGTAGGTATAATGGGCCAGCCAAATATAAATTTATAAACAAGAACATGGACTTCTGAAATCTTGACAACAGATGCTACGAGTATCTTTGAATAAAAATCTGAACAACAGTCTCCACTGCAAAATCTTTTCAAATATTTTAATTAAACTTTCAATTCGATGAGCACCAAAAGACATCAAGCCAAGTGTGACGTAACTTAATGATGAAAGATCACTCACCTTAACTGTAACTGAATCTTGACTGCCCTTGATTAGGTCGATGACCTCTTCCCTGTTCTTTCCTTCCACACTAACTCCGTTCACTTCAAGGAGTCTATCTCCAGGCATCAGTCCAGTCTCACTTGCCCCAGGATACGACCCCGGTTCCGCCAGGATAACAGCTTTGTTAGTCAGTTTGCTGGTCAGCCCAGTGATATTTCCATTGCATTTGCTATCACCATTGGTAAGACCATTCTCTTCATGGCCATTCAGGTCTCCAACGAAAATTCTTTCTTGAATCACAGCTCGACGGAGACTGAAGCCGAAGTCATTTCTCGGCGCTTTCTGGCGTTGGATTGTAAGGAATCTTGGTTTGGGTAATTTAAGAGGAGTTAGGGCTGGTAACGGTAAGTACACATCCTCGAAATTACTGGTTCGAGACCATCTATGGAAGCCTTGAGATTCACCAACAGGAGAAGTCGAAAATGGAGGCGTTGCGAAAGATGAATTCGTTGTTGTATCGGTCAAGGAGTCAGCACTTGGGGATGTGGAAGTGATTCCCAAGTAGCTGTTCCCATTAGTTTTTGCAACTTCATCCATGTCTTGAGTTGTAATTGTAGGATTAACATTGTTCTTGTAATTTTTATATTGGTTTTCTACAGGACTGTGAATTACTTTCTTCGTAAAGTTTTGCATATGGTGCATTTCGTCACTGGAGGATGTACTCTTAGACGGGGGTATCCCATAAGATATGAGCTCATTTTGTTGCGTGTTCCTCGCAAGCAAGTTGGGATCTTGTCCGTTGACATAATCTGTTGTGTCAACGTTTTGAACATTACTGTCTTGGGAATTGGAACTAGCGTTACTGAGACGAGGGCCTTTAAGTATACCCCGCTTTGGTGGTCTTGGTGGTATTGGAGGTAGATTCGGCGGTTGTCGAGGACTGCTGTTTGCGTTGTTCGGATTGTTCAAGGAATTTAAGGAAGTTTCCGAGCTGTCCGATTGGAGGACTCTGTGTGTGGGGTATCCAGGCGATAAGTGGTTGTTTTCATCGCTTAGGTTTGAATTAGACCCCGAGGTAGGAATGAGCGGGTAGTTAGAATAATTGGAGTCTTGTTCAAGATGAGCGAACAACGACGCTGTGTAGTCAGCTGTGATGCCGGAGGGTAGTTTCTCCTTTTCCTTGCGTCTTCCCCGCAATTTCAGCGACCGCCGGACCTGAGAAAGATAAAATTATGCGGTTTAAAATAATCTAGGTTTCGGTTGATCAGGCATGAAGGTTAAACGTAATAGCTAGTTGAATAGAGTTGTAAAGATTTCGATAATGACAGGATATTGAATAATGCAGTTCGTTTTATCACCGAAGTGCCTAGAGCAATTAGCGAGTCATCAGCTTTGAATAATGAATGAAAGAAAACAAAGTGTGGTGATCGATCAAGCGTATGACAGTTGAATAAGGTAGATTCGTGACACAATCGCTGACCTTTAAATGAGTTTAATTTGCGGGAGTAAAATACAGAGGTATGTTTGTTTATAAAAGTGTGATCTGACAAGTTACTCAGGTGTTAGTATTGACCTAAAACGTTAATGATAGACTCTCGGTTTCGAAGTACGCGCAAACGCAGTAGAGACGTTATATAGTAGGGATCGGTGATGAAACCCGTTAAGTTCCCGCAATAGCAAAAACCCGCACACCTCAAAGACTCGCAGTTTAAACGGCGAACGAAAGTGCAACCGATAATTTCAAACTGGTTTATAATATTGCTTTCATTTAATGGATTTATTCGCCAATTGATTGAAGAGAAGTGGGTCAGTAGAGCTTGTGAAACTGTTTAGAATATATACTGAAAGCACGCAAAGATTACATAAACACGGCTTGTGTGTACATTAACAGTCAGTTTTTGCATTTTTTGTCGTCAGATATGCATGCATCGTGTTATTTGTTATGCATTGCGTTATTTGTTTTCAAATGAAATTTCAATTCGAATACAATGCATTTGTAAGGGATTTTTTTTTATAACTGGCACATTATCATCAAAACCCAGCAAACTAAAATGGTAAAAGTGCTAAATGCCCAATGTACTAAATAATATAACAACGATAAGTTTTTTATTTATAGACATACTAGCCTAACCTAACGTTGGATACCTCATTACTGAGGGTCGTGCCTCCCCCGCGGAAATAAGCTCCGCATGACAATGCTGTGCCATCTGTGGCGGTCTTTAGCATAGTGGAGCGGATCATGGAGACGCATGCCGAGAGCCGCACAAATTTGGTCGGACCATCTTGTGGGACAGCGACCCCTCGGACGTTTACCGTCGATCCGTCCGGTAACCATTAGTTGTTCGAGATTGTGCCCTTCTTTTCATAGATATAACAGAGTTTATATTTATATGATTGTACAGTGTCACTTAAGTCATGTTGGTTTTACCGTACACTGCCACTCATCATCTAGTACCTACGTCTCGTCCTCCTATAATGGGAAGGCGGAATTAAATCGTGCAAATTCCTGGTACACTCTCCGTTATAGATCCTACAGAATACCATTTACGTGATCATAGGAATAAAAGTCTGTGCCTGAATCACATATTATGTACGTTTTGATGCACACAGGATAGGAGGCTATTAAATATTCTGTGAGAAAACATTCAATTCATGTTCTGCTATACACGTAGTTAGTGGATATAGATTTAAAACAAACTAGTCCATGGAAGTTTGGTCATCTGATGCGTCACGACAGTTTTTGTAGAAACATAATAGAAGGGAAGATCGAAGGAAAGAGAGGCAGAGAAAGACCGAGACGAAGTTATTTAGATCAGATAAACGAAAAAGTTAATGTCGTGTCGTATTAGGAAATCAAGGCTAAAGCGCTAAACAGATATGATTGGAGATTAATATACCGACAAGAGCCTAGCTCTTAAATGAGAAGAATTACTAGTCTATGGAATTACAGTAATTGAAATACCTCCGTCAATTCACTTTTAATCGGAGCACCCATCAAGTGTCACTTTCTTTTTTTATTTTTTTTTTTTTTTATTTGGCTCTGTTCGTTCAAAAATTACAGGCTAGGGTTATAAACCGTTCTGCCTCGTCCCAGGCTCACTTTCTTTTATATGAATGGAAAATGTATCTTAGAATAGTTTTGCAATACATATGGTATCATAATATTACCCTCACAGTGTATGTATCATTAGAGTAGAATTTCGTTTTAATGTTTCATTTTTCATTCATACCTATTTTAATTATTATTTTTAATAGTTCTAAGTAATTATTGTTTGTTTGTTGCTCTTAAATTTCAGTTTTTATTTTTGTAAGTTTGGAGTTACTCGTCTTGTCAACCTGTGCAGTGGGTTATTTGGAAATAGCATATTTTTTTTGTTTTGTTTTTTTTTCGTATTTTCTTTACATATTTATTTAGGTTTATATAACTATATATATATTTTTTTATTTTTTACAATGTTTATTGAAGATGATTATTTTTCTTGCTCTTCAGATGATTATATTAGCGCCCAAAGTCATAATACTTCACTTTCAGATTCTGAACCTTTGGAAGATAAACTTCACGATGTATTTGATAATTATAACAAATTCCTTTCCTTAGTGCACATCAACGCGCAGAGCATTCCTGCTCACTACAATGATTTTCTTACATCTTTTAGCGCCGGCATAGTTGATTGTATTCTTGTGTCGGAAACCTGGCTGAAACCTACTTTACCTTCTACTAGCTGTTCCATTCCGGGATATAAACTATTTCGTAATGACCGTGTCGGGTGTGGTGGAGGTGGTGTTGGCATTTACCTTCGTAGCCACATCATTGCTGATGTTGTTTGTTGCTCTCAGTCACTATACACGGGTTCCTTGGAACATTTATTTCTTTCAATTGTAGTTCACCACAAAAAAATCCTGCTTGGCGTTTTATATAGCCCTAATGATAAAACAGAATATTTTAACGTCTTGGAAAGTACTTTTGAAAACTTGGTCCCCCTTTTTGACCATGTCATTGTAATGGGTGACTTAAACACGTGTCTCCTCAAAAATGACAGTCGAGCCGTCAGGTTGGCAGCTTTGACGTCTGCGCTTGATCTCCAAGTGCTAAATACAAAGAAACCGACCCATTACTTTCCTAACTGTAGACCTTCCTTGCTAGATTTAATTATTGTCACTAACCCCAAACTGGTCATTTCGCATGGGCAGATGATTGCTCCCTTTTCACATCACGACTTAATTTATCTTTCTTACAAAGTGCGTCCACCTAAAGGTAGGGGAAAAGTCCTTCTTTTACGAAATTTCAAGAATTTGAATCTGGATCGTTTGAGAGAAGATATGAGATGTATTGACTGGTCCGTATTGTTTTCGTCTGACAGTATTGACGTAATGGTTGATATCCTTAACACTGAGTTGGTGAAGGTTTATGACTCCCATGCTCCTGCTCGGCCTGTGCGTGTCAAACGTGCGCCGGCTCCTTGGCTTTCGCCTGAGATTAAAAGAGTTATGGCAATGCGTGATAAAGCCAAATGCCGTCTAAAACGTGAACCCTCTTCAGCAAATCTAGACGCGTATAAGAAGTTACGCAATCTCAGCAATAGAATGTGTAGGGATGCCAAACGTCGCTACTTTCACTCTACCATACAAAATCTTTCCCAAGCTCAGGTGTGGAAATTTTTACATTCCGTAGGTGTTGGCAAGTCGTCCTTGGATGTTTGCCAAAACAACATAGATCTCGATGCCCTGAACTCCCACTTTTCCACGCCGCCCATCATCCTTAACTCTCGCACTAAATCGAATACTCTAACTTTTCTGTCTAATCTTGCGTTACCTGATTGTCCCCCTTTCACTTTTAGTGCGGTCACAGAGGATCTTGTAAAAAAGAGTATCCGCTCGATTTCCACTAAGGCCATTGGCAGTGACAATTTGAGCCTCGAAATGATTCTTCCCGTGCTGGAGGACATTGCGCCGGTTATTACTTACATCATAAATTTTTCTCTCTCGCGCTATGTCTTTCCAACTCAATGGAAAAAGGCTTTTGTCATACCTCTCCCTAAAATCCAGAATCCTACATCTTTTTCACAATACCGTCCTGTTTCCATTCTCCCCATTCTTTCTAAAGCCCTAGAATCCATTGTACATACACAACTTTATTCTCATCTTACCTCCTATAATCTTTTATGTCCGTTTCAGTCTGGCTTTCGTCCATCTCATAGCACTATTGGAGCATTACTGAACATTACGGAGGACATACGTCGTGCTATGGATGAAACGAAACTCACTGCCATTGCCCTCTTGGATTTCAGCAACGCTTTTAACTCTGTTGACTTCGACATTCTTCTTGGTGCCCTTCAGGCTGTTAATATCCCCTCTCCTATTATAAGTTGGTTCTCTTCGTATCTTTTCGGTCGCCAGCAGAGCGTGAAAATCAATGATGGCTCGTCATCTTGGTCTAACTTAACTGCTGGTGTGCCCCAGGGTGGCGTACTCTCTCCTTTACTCTTTTCTATTTTTATTAATAATATTTCCCGTGTCATTTCTTCTCCCTTCCATTTATATGCTGATGATCTTCAGCTTTATCGTAATTTTGAAGTGGGCGAGGTAGCGGAGGCAATTGCGTCTATCAACTGTGATTTGTCTGCCATTCAGTTATGGGCCAAGTCATTTGGCCTTTTGGTTAATCCAGCCAAGTCTCAAGCAATGATTGTGGGCAGTAGCAGATTGAGGTCCAAGTTGGACTGGTCTTTGGTACCTGCGCTGGTATATGACGGAGTTCCAATTGCATATACTGACAAGGCTAAAAATCTCGGGTTAGTAATGGACTGCACCTTGTCTTGGACTTCTCATGTCAATGAGGTCAGCAGACGAATGTACTTCTCATATCATTCTCTCAAACGTCTCCAATACTTTCTTCCTTTTCACACCAAAATTATGCTTGCGCAAACTCTTTTACTCCCTATTCTTGACTATGCCGACGTTTGTTACTTGGATGCGACCGAAGACCTTTTAAACAAACTAGAGCGTCTACAGAACCTGGCTATCAGATTTATTTTCGGTCTCCGAAAATTTGATCACGTTTCCGAATTTCGTGCTCGGTTAAAATGGCTCCCAATCCGCCTTCGCCGTGATGTGCATATCCTGTCCACCCTTTTTAATATACTTCATGACCCAAATTCTCCTTCCTACCTACGTTCGCGGTTCCAACTGCTTCCCCCTCCTAGCCGCTCAAGGCG